TACTACTTTCTATACGATACTAATTAAACTAAAACTTAAAATAACTAACCCAAACTCGAGTCGTCTTACGAATAAGAAGAAGTAATAGTACTAACTATACGAAGCGCTCGAGTTTTTGGGGTCTTATTTGAATTTTATTATACTTTATATGTGGTCTTTTGTGCTAACTCTTTTATCATGATAGATTTAACAAGTGTTTTCGTTTTACAGAATTTTCATTACCAACATATGTTTACCTCGACCGTGTTTCGTTGAATACCGATAAGTTGCGTAATTATATTTGTTCGAATCAACTAAAGAGTGTAATATAATAACTAGATTTTAGTTAAGGACGTCAGTAATATAATGTGAATACATCGTGTGACGCTAATACAGAATCAGCCAGTTGACCGCTAAATAACAAGATTGGAGTAAACAACGTTTAAGGTTACGTCGTACTATTCACACAAATTAAAAGTTAAGCTTCTTGTCCAATGAATAAAAAGAATTTTAATAGCTAATAACAATACAAAAAAAAAACAATCGTTTCTCCTCTAACTTGTTCATGAGATCATTTTAAAATCTGTCAAAAAATTAAAAAGAGAACACGGCCCCAGTTACAGCACGACGAGTTACTTGGGGTTATCATCATTACTACTTGTTTTGCTCTCTAACTCTGGTTGTGCGTCAGCAAAGAAACGCAAACATCTGATTGGTCAGTGTTTTCCAGCTATATAAATATAGCTTATCCGGACTCATAACCATTAGAGAAGTAGAGACACAGCTTTCAACTGATAACTGTGTGATACTTGCTGCAGTGGTTAAGTCTAATTATTCACAGGTAAGAAAAACATATCTTACGTCAGGTCTTTTGTGGAAAATTAGTAGTTTAAATGGTGTTAATAGTTTGGAATTTGTGTATGCGAATCAATAAGATAAACAAAAAATATGTAAATACAATTTCTAATAATCAGGTTTAGAGTAATGAAAAATTAATCCTCAAAATAAATGTAAATATTTTATTAGAGCATCAATTTTATTTTTTACGAAAGAGGAACAAGACTATTAGGCAAAGAGAAGATATGCAACGGCTACTTTTTATAAAACATAATATGTTATAGGTCTATTTGAATAAAGATTTATATTTAATTTTTAGATCTTGGGAATCTTGGACAATTCTTAAAGACAATTCCTTTAGTATCAGCCACAATGGATTTGGTTTACGAAAACAGTGTTTCTGCAATTGAAACGTTGCAAACCAGGTAAGCTATATATTGTAACTATATTGTATAATACTGAAGTTTATTTCCATATTATGTTGTGTTAGAAAATAATTTTACTTCAAACTCCAAACTATCCTTAACTTAATACCATAACTGATTTACAATTCCCTCTAAAGTAACGTGTCCCATAATTATTTTGAAGTGCATACACCATTCACTTTGTTTTTTGAAGTGTACTTAAGAGTTTCGATTATCTAAATTTATTAATCTTTCATCAGTTTTAAAACTAATGATTTTTTATTGCAGATTTCAGCAGCAAAAAAACGTATTTTTCACAATTTCGAACTTTGGTGATCCTCGATATGCCTTCCTTTTCTACGCACCTTTGATTTTCTCATTGGATCGCAGAACAGGAACTAAGTTGATGTGGGTTACCATCATTGCTGAGTGGTCCAACCAAGTTTTGAAGTGGTATGTCTTATATATATATATACAGGATCTAAGAATGCAGGACGTTATATTTAGCCTCTAGACATAATTCCAAACATATACAATTTTGATGCATTTTATTCTAAGCAGCAGAACTCAAAATAATCTTTAATAAGACGCAGAAAAATGAACTTTAAAAATGGTAGGATGTTCTTCAATTTTGTTTCCTGTATCAGCTTCATGGAAACTGTTATCAATAGCGTTTTATATCCTGTATAACTTTAATTGATTCTGTTGTTGATTGTGTTTTATATACTGTATAGCTTCCATTGATTCTGTTTTATATCCTGTATAACCTTCACTGATTCTGTTGTTGATTGTGTTTTATATCCTCTATAGCTTCCATTGATTCTGTTTTATATCCTGTATAACTTTAATTGATTCTGTTGTTGATTGTGTTTTATATCCTGTATAGCTTCCATTGATTCTGTTCTATATCCTGTATAACCTTCACTGATTCTGTTGTTGATTGTGTTTTATATCCTGTATAGCTTCCATTGATTCTGTTTTATATCCTGTATAACCTTCACTGATTCTGTTGTTGATTGTGTTTTGCTTCTTCTTGTTCTAGGGTGCTGCATGGAGAACGTCCTTATTGGTGGATACACGAAACACAAGTTTACAACAAGACTGGCTCAAACACTCCAGCCATTCAGCAATACTTTATGACATGTGAAACTGGACCAGGTACGTAATATTTTGATCGCTGTTTTTCATGATTTTCAAATGTTGAAAATTCCGTTTGCAGAGAGTGCACATTGCCTGTTTTTATTAAAACCCACTTAATTATTATCATAAATGACTTGTCATAAAAAACAAAACATGAAGTAAAATATTACTGCTCTTCCTACATTCAATTCTTGTAATTCGTTTTGTAAATGTTGGTCTAATATGTATTTGAAAATAATATTGCGTCAACTTTTGGATTTTAATATTTCATTTTTAGGAAGCCCTTCAGGTCATTCCATGGTATCCGCAGCGGTATGGTACATTCTTATTACTGCTTTTCTAGAGAAGTCTGGAGCTGTCAGAAACAACCAGTAAGTAATGAACAGAAAAGATACCATGCAATTTGATGATAACAAAGAAAAACAAGTTTTGAACTAATTGTATCCACTAAAACTGAAGAGGATGAATCAGGATGCATGAATTACTCTATATATTTTTAAATAACACACGACAGAAACAACAGTAAATAATATTTAATCAACCAAAGATAGATTATTATAGATTCTATCATAAAAAATATTATTTATGGGTCAGAAAAATACCTTGCCTATCTTATAAGGTAGTATTCCAGTTTCAATTCTAATATTTTATAGAATTCTTAACGTATTATATTCTATGGTTTTAATTAAAAACGTTACATCACATCGATTTTATTTTTAATATTTATTTTATTTTCTTCTGTTAGCAAAAACATATTGGTGTCCATAAGCTGGTCAATTTACACAATTCTGCTTTGTGTGGTCAGTCTGTCTCGAGTGTACATCGCTGCTCACTTTCCTCACCAGTGCTTATTGGGAATGGTTATTGGTTAGTTGAAACTTTGGCTTATTTACCTTTTTTAATATGATATTAGGCATTTAACTAGCAATAATACATTTTTTAAAGGCGTGGTTTCTAATTAAGGCGTGGTTTGATAAAGGTTATGGACAACTGCCTATTAGAAAACGTGTACTTTGAACTCCATTTTTGGTTTGCACATCAAGCCATTTCTGTTACAAGCTACTTTACTTAACTCAAATAGTTTATAATTTCGGTATTATTGATGACTAAATTAGCAGGAGCAAGTTAAGCCAGATTCTAAGTTTAAGTGAAATGAATAATGTTTATAATATTGCTACACAATTTTTAATAATACGGAACCTTGTTCTTTCATTATCGTACAAGCTACTGAAGGTTTGAGATAGTAATGGTGATAATGTCTTATACACGAGTATCAACATGTAACATATACATGTGTAAGTAAATATCGTCCTCAGTTTCTAATTGTGAAATTCATTTGATTTCTTTTTTTTTTCATTACAGGATGTGGTCTTGCCACCATCATGAGCAAATTTTCTCTGGATACTTTGAAACTGAAGCATTACGTTATCGCTACCTTCGGTCTTCTGGGCAGTGCTTTAACCACCTACGGTGTTCTGCGTGTTTTGGGTTTGAATCCTCTTTGGTCGGTCGATAGAGCCATGAAGTGGTGCGCCAAGCAAGAGTACATCCACGTGGACACTACTCCTTTCTTTTCAATGATGCGCTATTGTGGTTACATGTTAGGTATGGGCATCGGCCTCAACTCTATGTTCAACAAGAAAGCTGAAAAGGTTCCATTCTCTATGGGTATGAAGGTTACTTCCGCTCTCTTGGCTGTTGGTGTAGCTAAGCTATCTGAGCAAGTCACACTTCCAAAGTATAACACCGCTGTGTTCTACTTCTCTGTATTTCTCGCTAATACTATTTTACCATTCCTGATGATTGCCATGGTTCCTTACATCGTGTCCAGGGTATGGCCAGTCATCTTCGGGGTCGTGGCCAAGAGGAAGCAGCAGTAGAAGTCATTTATTTGTATCATTCCACATATCATGTATCATCATAAATGGTGTACATAAAATACTAGTTTCTGGCAGTAGAACTTTACAAACCCTTCAAAGAGGAAAAGTAACAGCAGAAAAACTTGGCAGTTTGGTAAATTCTGTAAGATATATATAGAAACATGTAGCTTGAATGGATGAACACATGTAGTGTATGAATTGCTGTATTTTTTTTTGTTAAAAAATCTTCGCACTTGTTAATTTATTACTTTAATAATGGAGATTGTTGGATAAAACTCGTCATTTATATTTATATTTAATAATCAAGTAAGAATAATACAATATTTTTGAAGTATCATGAAAAATAAGCTGAAGTGTAAGTTTCAGTGATTTTTACAGCAATTTATTTTTATTTTTTTTCTAAATTTTGCATCATAATAAATTTTGTATGATGGATGTCTATCAGTAAATTGTGGCACGATTTATATGACGTAAAACCAAATTCAATATCGCGTTTATTTTCAGGCTATATATATATATGAGTATTGTACAAATATGAAATATATTCATTTTACTTTAACAATTTTAAATTGAAATTAGTGAAAAATTGTATTTTGCGTAAATATTGACAAATATTTTATTTAGTCTAGGATTGTGAATAGTTTTATTTTGTAATATCTGTAAATAGAAGTACAAAAATAAAACCTTGTAAATATATGATTTAATTAGTGCTTGGATTGTTTTGTTCTGTGTGTTACTTTATGCTGTCATACAACTGATGTACAATGTTAAACAATTACATTACAATTACTATATTTAAATCACATGTTAATGAAACCATTCTTCCTTTGGTAATACTTCTATTGAAAAAAAACATAAGAGGAAATCTTCAATAGCCATGGCTGTAATTAGATCTCAAGTCGGTCAAAAGATGGAGCTATGAGATAAAAGTACTTGAAAAAACTTGAAGCTAATCTATGAGCTGCTATGCTGCGGCTAACAATAATGCCTTACAATCACAACAATTTCGGTCAGGAATTCTCCTTTTTTAAAAACTATTATTACAACAAGGTAAAATTTGAGTATTTCAAATTTTCAAAACAGATAATAATTGCTTTGTTTCCCTTAAAACTTATCAACTTTAAATGGCCAGGTGGTTAGGGCACTCGACTCGCAATCTGAGGGTCGCGGGTTCGA